TATGTTATTGAAATAATAAACTATACATTGGAATATCGCAAGGTAAAGGTATATGTATAGAAAGTAAAATTATATCATGGTATATTAGTAGTCGTGCTAACAAATAAAAAATAATATGATTCATATAATTCTATTGTATTTAAGAAGCAAACGATTAAATAATAGACCATATGTTACACTAACGTGGATTTTTTTTTATAAAATGCGTTAAATATTCAAAATTATGCTAATAACATTTTACCAACGTAGGCATATAATCCAATAAACCTATAGTGTGTTATTATTATGATAGTAAGTAGGAAGTACACGTAGAAAGTATTTTTGATTCAAAATGTTATACATTTTATAGCCAAATAACTAATTTAATCAAGATGTTTGACGTTCAATTCAATTATATAATTTGTGATTTTCACTAAATATAATAATAATATAGGTACTGATAATGTGATATATTTAATTTCAATTAGGAAACCACTTGACATTGATATTATTTATTAAATTCATGTAATATAATTATTTTTCTTGTTATACCTCACTGCATCGACGAATATAAATGTCATTAAAATTGATTTATCTATAAGTAAATCTGATTAACCGAATCAGTAAATACCAAATATATATTTATCCATTCAAACATTATATTAAGTCTATAATTAATTTACACAGTATACCAGAGAGATACGTTCTGTGAATTGTAGATTATAATAAACAGCTTAAATTAGCTTACGAGAAATGGAGGACCATCTCAAAGTTGTATGTACACAGTTATATTATCAGGTATGTAAATATATATATATTTAATAAATATTTTATGTATATATTTATAAGTAGGTAATGCTAGGTAGTGTAAGATAATAGTTATTGATTTTGAGATTTCTCGTTCTTAATTCTCATCATGTGTTATTCAATATTTCAATTATATAAGAAATTTTAATTTAATAGTACAATAATCGTGGCTTTCATAAATATACATAATATGGATACAATAAAATAAGGAAGTAGTACATTAGTTTAATGCAATGAAAATCTTAAATTGATTATAACAAATTAAATTTTAAGTTTTGACAGAAGCATTGTCTTCTTATTGTTATATTGTTTTAAATTAATTATTGGTTATAATGAAAAAACAATTGAATGCCTTCCAACACCGATGTTGATATAACAGATTTTCTGAGATTGAATTATTGAATGACGAATATTATATGGAACTTGAAAAATATAAAACAAGTACCTACCTACCTATAAAATAATAATATTAGATGCAAAAAGCAATGAATATAAATTATAATTTAAAAAAATTAATTGTAATGCGGTTATTATACTTTACTACTTCAGTTCATCTTGGTCTCCGTTAGTATAGCATATATTGTTGTATTTGGTTTCAAATGTTTTTTCAGTGAAAAATCAAAAAAATCTTTATACAGAATCGTACACTGAACAGAATATTATACATCTAGAAATCGTGCAGTTAATAATGATAAAAGTGCAGTTGGTTCTTAAGAATGGATGGAGTATGTACTTCTAGTGAACAGAGTACGATTATTAAGAAAAATGTCACCAAAAGAAAATATAAGATGAACGATTATTAGTGATGATGAAGATTATGAGAATAATGACTTAAATATTGGTAACATAAAAGCTGATAATGAAAAAGCAGTCTCCTTTTGTTCTGAAAAATGTGATGACTATGTAATAAAACTTAATGGTTCGGTCTCTAAAATCAATCTTAAATAAAAAAAAAAAGGAATAAAAACTGATAAAATGAATATTGAGTTTAAGAAAGTACGAAAGGATACAGATTACAGACATATAGACATATCGCCAATAGACAGTGTTTTATTATAATTAAAAAATTTGCAGTCATGCATTTTAAAAGGTTTTCACGAACTCAAGTCCCCCTGTGTGTTATATGGTGTTGATTTTTCGGCAGTTTTAAGTCATTTCTTGAATATATACTAAACAATTTAAAAAAAAACGAATTTTTAAAATAGGTAAAGCAGTGTCGAATTTTCAATCCATAAATAGGCTAAATTAAACTATATTGGAGTATTTATTTTAATGTTATATGTAATAAGTTAATAAATTGATAGTGTGTATGTATAATTATCTACAGAATGATATGATTCACCAAGTACGCTCACTTCTATTTTTTATTCCCAATGATGAATTTTATGAATTTCTGATGGAAAAATAATTTGCAAATTATCAGGATTTTGTTATAATTTTAACTTTAAATGTATATAAAAAATAATAGTGCCTATGTATCTATAATATTTTTAAACTGCTATCAAAAACACTTACCAAATACATTATACTAAATTTAACTAAATTTTACTAAGCGAAAAATTTTTTATACATTAATTTAAAAAAAAATTACAAAATTCGAAAATTTCTCATGGCTATAAATAGCCCAAAAGGGGTCAAAATATTTTGTATGTATTATTTATTTGAATATATTTGCCATGTATGGAAATTTATAATTTAAATACATATGTGGTAAAAGTTTCAAGTGTTTACCACATATGTAATGTTTTTGAGTTAAACTAAAAATATAAAATCAATTTTCTCAAAAATTAGTTGTGCGTAAAAATTCTCATTTTTCATTGATATTTTTAGTTTTTCCTGACGCTTTCGAAAACTTATGCAAGTTCTCAATTTTAACCAATCGAATACATCAACTAGATTCACTTTTCAATCACAAAAGATGCTGGTATTGAAAATCAGGGATTTTAGCTACTCAAAATGTCGATGATATGTCTGCAGCCAGAAAAAAACGCCCATCATTGTAAAAACGATACATTCATCGATACGCTCAGAATCTAAAACTCAAAAAACCAGCAACAATCGTGGACACATACACGCCTATATGGAAGGACACAAACAGTCAATTAAAAAATGTGAAACACTGTTCTTGATAAGGTGATACTGTTTGAGGAATGAGTTAACAATAGTTGTTAATATTTTTAAATATTTTTTTCTTTGAATAAAATTGAGTTTTTTCTAATTTTTATAAAAATATTTTAAATATAAATACAATATTCAAAGAGATAAACGGTACTGAATGGTTCTCAATAACCATATACCACTAATGCATTTTAATTCAGATGCTGTAAAAAAGTAGTATCTATATATACCTAAATATTTCTTGAGATTTGATATGTATCTTAATTTAAAATAAGTGTAATTTAAGCGGACATTTTTTTTAAAACATTTGTTTCAAGTAGGTATATTATACTAAAATGTTAGGTGGTGGGCTATTCCATTTTATACGAATCAGTTAACTAAATCAAGTTAGAGGACTCATACACTTTATTTTAAAATTACTTCAAAAACATATTTTTTTCAAATCTACGGAACAGTAGGTCATGAATTCATATTTCTTCGAGCAACCACTTTTTTAACGGGAGTTTAATTTTAGTTTGGACTACGGTTTTTATGTACTCTTATTTTTTTTTTTAAATGTAAATTATGTAGGAATTTATTCCCAATTGTATCATAATCAAAAACTCGTTTGGCGTTGAAAAGTTTCCCACTCAATTGTATTTACTTTTTATTTTAATTATATTAGTAGGAACAAGTTGCTACCTGTGAAATCATAAATAATTAATAACGTTGTCAAAATATTGTTATATGTATAGTGTAAAATGTACACGAGTAAATTCGGTCCGATGTTCAGTTTTGGCGATTCATTATTGTCTCATAAGTAAAACATAAAGAAATATGTCCGTTTTTTTCTGTATATTTTATATTTATAATTTGTATTATATTTGTTCTATGGCTAAGCGTTACCACTATGTCCCGGCAACAAAACAATTAATTGGAAGAACTAATTTCCTTGTTGCTTGTGAAACAGATCATTAATATTGAATTTTTAGGAAAAAAATATTAGTTTTACGTTCTGAAAAGTTAACTGTTACTCGAACCCTGAATAATTAATTAAATAATGACGTTTTCAAAGCTTTTTATCAATGACTATTTTAATAACAATCGTGTAAGCGTGTTATTGTGTTTATTTTGCTTTAAGCTCCATGTGCATACCAAATACAGTTGTTCTTATACATTTATTCATTCATGGAAGCCATCTATAACGTATGGTATTACATCGTGAATATTAAATTAGGCATTATAAAAAGTCAGGATATGAAACAATATCACGCATGAAAGTTAATCAATTTAGTAATGAAAATCAACCATTACGGTAGAATGCACGATGCTCAATATTAATAACAAACGACTGGGTATATAATATAATATTTATATCCAAGATGATTCTTATAACAGCAAACACTCGTTATTTCAAAAAGTAGGTATCAATTTTTTAAAAATTTTCCTCGCGGGAAATTTAAGCCGCGACAATTCTAATATTTTATAATGCCCTTACTTTTTTTACATTATATATAATATGTTTGTAGTTGAAACCACTATAAACTTTTGATGAGTGGAGTATTACACCACATATTTGGCGCGGCCCTTGCCCATTTACCAATAAATAATAATATTTAAAATGATCAATCATATTACAATACAGTATATGATACAGACAAATTGTGTTAAATATATTGAAATATGTTTGAAAACTGTCCATGGAATATATGTGTGTTTTAAATAAAATACATAATATATGAATATATTTAAATGTGGATATTGATGAGTATGGGTAGCAAAGTATAGTAATGTAATAATTATAAATGTGTTGTAATGAAATTTAGTTTACGACTACAATTGAAATTATAGTAGGTATACTTTTCATATGATAATTTACATTTGTTTAATGACAATAAATAAACCATACTGAGTGTAAAAAACACATTGATTAGATTAGGTATACCTATCATTAGCTAAAATATTGTTTCTTCCGTCATGCACAAATTAATAATACTGATCGCATTATACAGTTTATCATAATTAATACAACTGTATCATTCACTGAATACTGTAAATTATAACATTCAATATCCTACCAGCTTAATGTAAATTAAGTTTTTATGCTATGCACTCACCCTCCTTGTGTGGCGCTGGATATTGACAGTGTGAAAATGCTGTTTGTGTATCCGTCACAATTGCAAGAATCAGTATGTCGTCCACCATTACCAGATGCCCAAACGAATATGGATCCTTTTCCGTGACGGCCCTATGGCGAAATAATAATGGACATTTATAAAAAAATATTATGTATTGAATAATATTAATTATTTAATCTCAGTAATGACCGCTGTTAAAATTTAAAAGTAAGTTTTTCTTCTTGATGAATATTCGACACACAGTTTTGTGTCGAGTTCACGAAATAAACTAGATTATTTTTACAACTGTATAAATCATAGACCTATAAACTAAGCTCATATAGAGAGAAGTCAGGGGTACGATATGGAGTGAGCGAGAAAAGAAACAAAGTAGTATTTTACAGCGTGGCTACTGCCAAATAAAAATTGTGGTACAATAAAATTTGGCAATTGTTATATTTTATTAGTAACGTAATATCAAATTACAGAAATACAGATACCTATAATAATTAATATGTTTATAGTTGCTAAAGAAAGTCGAAAAAAAAAATTTGAAGTTTTTCCTCCATGATTTACTACTTTATGTTCTTTCTCTCTTCCTTTCCTCTTTCTTTCTCGGTTATATGATTCCCTAGCATAGAAGGCCGGGCGGAGTGGAATGAGCTGTCCATTAGTTTATAGGTCTATGGTATAAATATAACCATTGATTGTAAATACTATAATTATAGTATCAATGATATAACCAAAGTAAGTCCGCAAGAACATTTTTTTCTGTTAAAAATACATATTATCATAAATGGATTTAAAAAAAGTGGAATTCATAGAAAATTACCTTTCATTTAATATAACAACTTCCATTATTCAGTGTATAATACTGTTATGTATATGCATTTTCAATTATACAATTTTTTCAGTATATCCATTACCCTCTATTTATCACGATCACAATATATGATTGGTAGATATATGTATGATATTTGTTCAATCATAATAATGTTATTATATGAAATCCATGTATGTATAGTTAATTGGTATTTTAACAGTACACTCAAATTAATAATATTATACATATATACCTATATAATAGTATATATATTTAATATTATTATGCATCTAAGTACTTTATATTTTGGACAGAACGAGGATTATAATGATAATATGTTATTATAAATGTATGGTTTTTTTTTTCTATGTAATTCCTTTAAAATTTTAAAAGTACGGATAAGGGTACTTTAAAAGTATAAAATTTAATTTTAGCTCAAAGAAAAATATCGACAAAAAAAATTGGAAGAAATTTACAATATTACGACCACTTTCAACAAAATGTACTTTCTTTAGATGGTTTTGATTTAAGAATGATACTTCAGGGAACTTGCCATATTTAAAAATAAGAATGAAATAACTTTAAAATAATTATACCATATTAAGGCTAATTGTAAAATGTCAAATATTTTGAAATTACATTATAATAATATTATATAATAACACAGGAAAAATGAATACAAGGCGTTATCCGTATTATATAGCTTTATATAATTTATGTATAAGATATTTTATTCTATAATTAATTAATTTATGTTCATTTCCTGTAACTAATACTTTTTTTTAGAAAACTTGTCATATACAATAAACATTAAATCATACCGTGTGACCGCGAAAACTGGGTACACTCCATAACTCAGTTACTTACATTACTCAGTATCCTATGCATATTTTAGAATTCTGTCTGCGGGAAATTGATGATCCAATAGTCTAGTTTCGTGTGCCGCAAACAGAGTTCAAAAATATGAATAGGGTAATATGGGTAATTTAATTATACAGTGCACTCTACTGCCCTGTTTTTGAGGACATACGGAATACAGAAACAGCCTCCATCTTAAAATAAACTGGAATTAGAATGTGATGAAAATCTTTTTTTTTTTATTATTATTACTAAACACCCAAATTGAATCACCAAAAATATTACGAACGTATTAATAGAGTATAATAATTCATCTGATTTAAAATTGTATCATTCGTAATAGTACCTAAAATTATTAATTAAAACACAAAGTTTTAAGATCAAATCATTTCAATACAACAGTACTACAATCAAAATGGGTTTCGAGTCTGAATTAAAAGTATACGTTTATTTTTTTTTTTGTGCTTAAAGTATTTAATTTTTCACTTGTCACCGACAAGGACTTTAAAATGTCCAGGGAAATAGGCGATTTAACAAGTAAAGTTCATGGTTATGTCACTTCAAACGTAATGACATCTGTCGAAAAAATTCACATATTTGGTATTTCTAGTTGACGAAGAAATAAAACAAAAAAAATTGTATAAGAAATGTTGCAACGTAAAAAATATCGTTTTGGCTAGTTAATTGTCCAAAAATTAAGGCATATTAATGTAATGCTATGACTAATAATAATAATATTCTTTATTTATGGACATAAAACTCCATTTAAATGTCTAATAAGTAATAACATATTAATATTATGGCGCTCACATAAATATTATGATTAGGACATAAGTAAAAATAATAATTTTGACTCGGTATAATGTAGCCGTAAAATTCAAAACTTAATATAATATTATATAATGTAGGAACACAGGCGATGTGGGTGTGGTTTTTGATATACCTTGGCCAGTTCTATGAAGTCACATTAATATGTGTTTCAGACATGTTTATGTCAAGTAGGTAAGAACTGTATATAACACAAAAACGAAATTAAAAGAATTTTTAAGTGCGTGCTTAAGAAAGAAAAGGGTATTAAACACAATGTTAATGACTCGAACTTGTATAAATAACTGGTTCATATATACGCGACACTTGTATACCTATATCACACGCTGTGCATGAATTTTATGTTCTTTTTTTTTCTCTTTCCTATTTATTTTTCTGCAAAAATAAAAAATAAGCACAAGGGCAATGGAACACTACCATATATACCTTCGTAGGTATAAACAGTCGGCACAAACAGAATTTGTGAGGTGAAAAGAGTATTTCCGATTCGATTTTGGTCGTTTTATGATTTCACATCAATGCGAAAAATATTGAACAACTTTTAAAGTCAGTTCATTAACAACATAAAGTATATTAAAATCCGGAACGCCATTAAAATTTTATTTTCCTTTCGGATTAAATTCATAAACAAACGTTTAAAAGTTGATCTTTTTAAAAACAGGTAAAATTGGATGAAATGTGATTATAAAGTTTGACTTTCCGAGTAATAATTATTGTATAGTACCTATAAGTAAAACTTTTCAAAGAAAATGGTTGTGGGTATTTGAAAATATGTTGATTAAAAAACTAGGTTTATAGTAATTATTAGTTTATCTTAAATTCGAACAAAAACATGAAGACGGTTTAAAATGATTAAAAATATCATACAATCATTTAAATTTAAATAATTAAAAAAAACAATGGAAAATTATTTCAGGGATTCAAATCCTTATCATTAATTAATAATTATATACTTATAATAAGGTATATTATTATTAAGACTTCATAAAATGTAAGAAGATAATATTGTTTAATATTTAATTTTATATTATATGTATGTTCCTCAAACAAGTAAAACCGCTACCTAACTATTATGATAAAATTAAATTCTATAATTTTAATTAATTAATCATATTTTAAGGGGATTTGATACCATGATTTTCTGTTTTTGTCTACGACATAGTATTTTAGACGTATTTTTTGCCAAACATCCAATTTATCTATTGAAGCGATAAGAATTTTGAAAATAGATTTGAATTTGTCGTCAAGTCTACTTGAAATCGACTTTCCTACATGTTTGATATTATCCCCGAAATTCCTTAAAAATGTCATATTAAAAAAAGAGTATTTAAAAATTGTCGTATTTTAATTTTTGGAGAAGTTAAAATCAAAAGATCAAAAATGTAGGAAAGTCGATTTCAAGTAGACTTGAAGACAAATTCAAATCTGTTTTTAGAATTCTTATCGTTTCAATTAGATCAATTGGTATGTTTGGCAAAGAACCAGTCTATTTATCCTATGTCACTTGTGTGTTAGACAAAAATCACGGTATCGAATCCCCTTAATAATGATAGTTTTTCTATGTTTGTAGGTTTGTATATGTTTCTACAGACAAAATTGATATGAACTTGGATTTAGAAAATACTACAGAAAAGTACTAAAGAAACAGGACAGAAGAAAATATTGGGTGCAATTCCCAACGGAGGAAAAAGTTGTACTTACATAATTTCATAATAGTTTATAAAAATGAATTCTAGGAATTCGAAACTATTTGAATATTTCTTTCAAACAAGAAGTAATGTTGGGTTTCAACACTTGATATTTGAATACGAGAATAATTATATATCATACAATTTATATTTTTTTATAAAATCTAAAAGATATCTAATGGAATGATGATTTTATTTTTATGAGTGACTAACATTTAAAAAATACCACAGACAGTAAAAGGGCAGTAAAAGTATACTTTCAGTTTCTCAAAACCATATAGGTACTATTGAAATTTATTTAAAATATAAAATGATACAAAATATCGATATACGCCAATATAGGTAGGGGAAGTAAGACGAATTCCAAACACAACAAAGTTTCTGTGCCCTGTTTGCATTTATTAATATTTATTTTTGCAACAGAGAATATAATATATAACCAATGTACGGAATAGTTAGCATCATAATTTTATGTGCGGTTCGTGAGATTCATGTAATAATAATATTGTTTTAATATTTCCGTGGTTCTCGAAGCTCCCCATATTAATTATTATTATAATATTATGTTATCTAAAATGTATAATTTCCATTAACGCTGTATGATATAGATACAAGATTACTTATTTCACTATTACATATAATCTTAAAGTTACATTATAAACGTAGAATTACAATTTATGATATACCAATATTCACGTGAGAAAATAATATATATACTTCAATCGATTCTTAAAATAATTCAAACAGTTATAAAAGTGGGACCTGTTGTAATACATTTCTGATAACATATTATAATGAATTGTTTCTAAAACCTTCAAATCTTTTTCTGGGGTTATTATAATTTTTAGTTGCAAAAAGAAGGGCGGGCTGGATATATAAACTATTTATTGGGCATTGTCGTTTAGGGTTTAGCCTAGCTCACCTCAGTGCTATACACGGTACTGGATAGTGGTAGTTGTTGGAAGCATTAATAATATATCATCGCATTTCAAAACGATTCTTTCTGACATGTATTCAAAATCGATCTATAATACCTTTAGTCTTAAAAAACACACATCATTGTAAAATCAATACATTCATCGGTCCGCTCAGAATCTAAAATGCTTAGGAAACAGCTATTACGCAAATAAAAAATTACATCTTTGAGTGCCAAATAAAATCGATTTCCAATAAATTGGTAGCATCATATGAAACTGTATGACCTGTGCTATGTAATATTCTTAAAAGTATCTACAGAAGATAATAAATGTTATTAAGTGGCCCGGTGCCAGTTTTTCAAATTTTCAGAAATTTGAAAATAAAATTTTATATTTTAGTTGCCATCTCAAATATACTATTTTTCCACTAATCTTCTACCCGATAGTTATTTAGGAGGAGGTGGGGGTTGATAGGGTGTATTACTGTATTATATCGAAAAAAATATCTTTACGGGAATAACTCTCAAGCTTTGTAGAATTGTCGGATTTTGATGATTATTTTTTTACCTGAAAGAAGAAGATTTTCTACAGCCCGCATCGGTCTCTGATTTTATATTTTATTTCATATAATTGTATTAAACAATTTGGAAAAAATGCTTTTTATCTTGTATTTTTTTAGGCATAATATAAAGTTTGAGAATAAAATATTGAAACACAGATTTTAATAATCTTATTCATTACTAATCATATTATATTTTAAATATTTAAATTTATCTATATCCTAACTATCATTTATTATTATTATTTTTTTATAATATTTATACCTATTTTGTTTTTAAAACTGTTACGTTTCTTATATTGTGCAAATAGTCCGATTTATTATTATCTTTAAACTTTCGGGCTGTCATAACCATTATTTAAATAATATACTGAATTGTTGAGCTGTAATAGTTTTTGCTAGAAGCTAATAAGGTATAAATATCTTCATTTGTCTAAATGTTTAGAAAAAATCGTTCTCTATATAGAAATGGAGAAAATGTTGAGGCTCTGCGATTAAGATTTGTTGAGTTATAAATTGTATAGTAAAATAATATAAATTTGTCAAGGAGAAATCGTTAATTTATTTGTTTGAACTAAACCTAAAATTAACTATTATTTAATTAAATAAAATAATACTTGTAACATTTTTAAGGACGAATGTTATTCACTGGCCTCAGTCATGTTGAAAACAAATAATACCTAATCATACTTCTTAATTCCACGTGAATCGTACCAATGTTATTAAACTATTTAAATAATTTAAATAAAAGTACCTATCTACGTTGTTAGTATATGGTACTTACAGACTATTAAAATACATTATTAGTGTAGGTTTTACCAAAATGTAATTATTTTCAAACTATTACAGTGAAAATCAGTACAAGACGAGCTGATTTCAAAATCAAGTAAAATTCAAGTGTTATAATTATAATACAAATATTTTATTTACCGAAGTCACTCCGTAAATGAATGCTCGTCTTGCCAATGGTCCTGGTCCGTCAACAGTCTTACCATCATCTTCTGGACCCCAAGAAGCACTGTATATATCTATATGATTGATGTTCAAACCCAAAGCGCGAGCTTCAACAGCATCGTTTACCGTACCATCTAACATCCTAACTCCTGAAAAAAAAAAAATATAATATATTAATATTAAAGAAGAAAGTATCAGTAATATTGTCACTGGAAATGATTTTCCCTCGCAGAACTTAGAAGTAATATTATTACACATAATCTATATAATATTATATACTGTTTTATAATTAGTGTATTATGTATTATGTAATATGTATAATGTATGCTTTATAGTATATAGGTATAGTAAATGGATTTTGAATTTAACAGAACGATATTATAATATATATTGTACTCCGTTTGCTGAGAGAATGTGGTTAATTCGCGCATATTTGACTAGATACGAGTTGCGGAGATGTGGGTGGTTGCAATGGGATGCGACCGGATTTGGACGCAATCATATTCTATATCGGTGAACGGAATTTTTTTTTGTATATTAAATTGATATATATTTGTATGTACTTATTGAGTTAAATTTATTTTAGAGTATTATCAATTATTATATGTTCAGTTTTGATTGATAATTCCAGTGCAATATCAATGATACCCTAGGCTCAATTATAACTTTGTATTTCTATATTATTACTGTACCTCCAATACTGGCGTTGTATGCCACGCCGATACCGCAATACTGGTTAAATGCGATAGCAGCTACTTCACCCGCGCACCTCGTCCCGTGCTTGTTGTCGCCATTGTCCCGAGGCATAGGGTCATCATCATTGTCGTTTATGTCGGTGCTGGCACTGGGGTCCTGCATAAACAAATTTACCACATTTTAACCATAAAATCATGATCACATTGCAGTATTGCACGGTTATTGTCAACTTAATAAATATATTAATTTTATACTGAAATCAATATACAATATGTTTAAGGATTACAAGGAACACGAATAATTAAACAGTGAAGTGTATAAAACATGGAATTTGTTTGTGATTATTCAAGAATAGAATAAAAACAATATCATATCATTTAAAGAATACATTTCTACGAATGACTCATCATGAAAATAAACATGTGATATAATAAATAAATAATATAAATATACCAGTATAATACTAAAACTATATTAAACATTCTTAAAATTCTTTATTACAATTTTTTTACTTTTCTGTGTCATAAACTTAATTAAATTAGAACACTTGAATCAAATTCAAGCTTGCTAATATTATGGAGGGAAATTATTTAATATGTCTATTTGTATACATTAATATTATGTAAGTACTATAATATTAATTAGTATTTAATACGAAATTTAAATAACGATCGATGACTTGATAATAATATAATATTAGTATATAAATTAATTATAGGACCAATTATACAGAATATAGATATTTTATTTTATTTTATTTTTTTTTTAAAGATTTGTTTAGACATACATAAAAGTAATATAAAATCATATTATATTAATTTGAAGATATTTAACTATATAACAATTTGTTAGTGTATCACACTAGCAATAGATAAATAAACGGCAGGAATTATAATCTTGTTAAAGTATTAGTGAATTAAATATTTTATGTTGCATCGTGCATTCCCTTAAATCCACCATAAAAAACAATTTTAAAGCAAAAATAATATTTTTCTTGAATTTAAAGAGTTAAGTCAAACGACTCAGAAAAAAAGACTAAAGGATATTAAATTTAAAACTCGCCACAGACCATTTTTTACTAAGACAAAAGAAAAATTCAAATATTTTATTTATCAGGGACGGAAATCTTACTAACTTAAAATGTATTTAAATTACGAAAAAAGATTTCTATGGATCACGATTTCAATACCTACATAGAACAAAAATAAATATGATTTGCTGTGTTGCTCTTTTGAATACTTTGATTCAGTAAATAAAGATAGGATATACCTACCAAAAATATTGAAATATATTGTTTACAATAAAAATTATAAGAACTGATAAGTTCGTTGTTGAATCAAAATATTTAAATTTAAGTATGAAATTAGCTTTATATTAGATAAGTACCAGATAAGCCTCTATCTCTAATAGATCTGGAAGACTGGATATACCTATATACTACATAATTTTATACAATCTTAAACAAGAGTTGAAAAAACCACGAGTTCGTAAAACTTTGAGCATACACTCGAAGTTGCTGTTTTTGACGTTTTCACGGGATAAGTTTTAAGCAAGAAATTTAAAAACACTGTTTACATTTCAATATATGGTCTCGTGGAGACCATATTGGTTATAAAATGCACCTTGGCCCGATATATTTGTTTTTTATATACATATACCTAATACAAGTATACATATATAGTCTCATTATTGTCGAGTGTATACTCTTTCCGTTCATTGGCGGTATAGTCAATCGATAATTTTCAAGTTGTCGATGATGCTACTTAGATTAAAAAACAATATCGGTATCTATTCAAAAAAAACTTGTATACCTACCCAAAGTTGTCGAAAATATAATTTTTATGTTATTCATGATAATACAAAGAGATGGAAATATAATCCTATAGTATCATTCATTAGCACGACCGAAAATGTTTTCACCTTTTTCCTGCATAACTACGAGGAATAATTCGATAGCTATATTTATATTAACATGCAGGAATAAAATTAATGATGTAAAATTGTAAAGTAATACAAACAAACCCGTCAAGGATCAAACTAATAATTCAAATCAAAAACGAGGATTTCCCGAAATGAAAATACTCGCATATAATATACAAAATGTTAATAACGCATAAGAAGACAGAAACCCTCGCAGAAACCATAAGTAAATAAAAATATCATTTGAGTTTCAATATATTAACTTATTGCAGGGAATAGTAATTGAATGTGCAGGCGTGGTTTTTATTCTAAATTAAGTCATACGAGGATTTAAATTTATAAAAAATATAGAAATTTTATTCAGATCGATGTTGGTTTCAACGGGAATATAATATATAATATATTATCGTACTTGATTATATCGATGGTCATTCGAAAACATGGCCAACTATATGATATAATACAATATATATGTGAGTTTATACACTTTAAAAACAAATTAAACCCAAGCACGTAATATAGTATCTTTTGAAGTACCAAAAACGATATCATTAATGTTGTATAATTTGTGAATACGATAAAATATAATAATTTGATACCTAGCTGTATGACATTCTAAATGACGTAAAGTATCCTCTGGAAAGTTTTTTTTAAAATATAAAATACCTATATATAGACACTAAAAATCCATACACATATAATTATTATGTATGACGTACAGGTACATATGAAACATTATTCAGAAGTAATTTCAGAGTGAAGTTGTCAAGACATGCACTTTTGATATCACACCAAAAACACTGCGTTATAACTCAGTGTAAGAAAAAAGCTAAGTTAAAAAAAAATGTAATAATGATTAAATCTTTAAAAGATGTGATATAATATGCAAATTAAGTAAAATGACATTTTATAATATTACAAATACCTATGATGACAAATAAGATCGATTGTATTGTTAAATACTTAGTCAACATAATATATTATGTTTAACTATTTGGCAGGACGTAGAAGTATTCTTAAATAAATAAGATTAAGTAATCACTACAGTATTTACAGTAATTAATAATGTATCAACAATATGTTGACCAAGTATTTAACAGTACAATAATTGATCTTATTTGTCATCATAGGTATTTGTAATATTATAAAATGTCATTTTACTTAATTTGCATATTATATCACATCTTTTAAAGATTTACTATTTGACAGGACGTAGAAGTATTCTTAAATAAATAAGATTAAGTAATCACTACAGTATTTACAGTAGTTAATAATGTATCAACAATATGTTGACCAAGTATTTAACAGTACAATAATTGATCTTATTTGTCATCATAGGTATTTGTAATATTATAAAATGTCATTTTACTTAATTTGCATATTATATCACATCTTTTAAAGATTTACTATTTGACAGGACGTAGAAGTATTCTTAAATAAATAAGATTAAGTAATCACTACGGTATTTACAGTAGTTAATAATGTATCAACAATATGTTGACCAAGTATTTAACAGTACAATAATTGATCTTATTTGTCATCATAGGTATTTGTAATATTATAAAATGTCATTTTACTTAATTTGCATATTATATCACATCTTTTAAAGATTTAATCATTATTAATTTTTTTTTTTAACTTAGCTTTTTTTTTACACGGAGTTATAACGTAGTGTTTTTGGTGTGATAATATATACCTACACGTAAAATACTAATAATGGAAATCAATTAAAAAATATACATGTAATCGTCAAAGCAATATATTCGAATATGAAATAATGTGTTTATTTTATAACAATGTAATATGTCATGATATAAAAGTACAAAATACTATTATAATGATACACCAATTGTTGTGTATAATATACTCATAAAGTCATAAATGTCGAGTTGAGCAAAAAATTAATTTGTCAATTAAGTCGGAAAGTCGGCCATTATGTATAAATGTATAATATACATAAATAAAAGAATAACTAGCTATCTAAACCCTTTCACTGTACAATTATATTAATTACCTATACCTACTTGACAAAAACAATATTTCTTTAAACCAACAGATTATCTTATAATAAAATGTACACACATAGTGAGTTTATTTTGAACTTGTGCAATGGGAATCTTCATAATTATTCGGTTAACATAATATAAGCTCACATTATATACGTACGGTGTGCTCATCACTATAGCTGTTTAGCCAAATTCCATTATCAAAAAGTTTTATTAAACAGCTTGCATATTAACCTTTACAAGTGCGTCATTCACACTCTACACAGCCATGAGCAACGGCTTCGTGAAAATCTTCGGAACGCCCAAGGCTTTTAAAGGTGGCTAAACTTTAATACGGTTCAACACACATGCAAAACCATATGGAAATTTCACTCCATACTATACACCGTTATTATATTTTAATATTAAAATAAACCTATTTTGCACGTGTGAAATTCTTCAGTGAATTTTAAAAAGTGAAATAATGCAATTTAAATATAAGATAATATTATTACATTATTACTGAAAACTTTACTATATTCATGTCAAAAATGTTTTCATTTTCATATTAATTCAATTACTCATAATTTAAATCACTACAAAATACCTCAAGGCAATTTGGTGTGGTATGCCTATTATATTTATTGAAATGTTCAATGTTATGTAATTATTTTGTTTCCAATACAATTTTACATTTTAAAACAAATATAGCAACAATATAATTACAAACATTAACAAACTTTTTTTATCTACTGTAAAATATCATCTTACATGAAAATGTGTACAAATTATTATTTTGTCTAATGGATATGTAAAATTTTGAAATACGTGAGTAAATATTTGAAATGTACATAATAAATATAAAATTCATAGTAAATAGTTTCACTGAATACTGAAATCCACATAGACATAAAAATAGTAAATTCACAAATAAGTTTAAAGTTTATCGAGTTTGATAAGGTAATTACCAGTTTAAGACATTTAATATGTAGGTAATGAAAATGTTATAAAGAAATATATTTTAAAACCTGATATAGTTTGCACATTATATATTCAATTTTATAATGTACTAAGTTCTTATGATAATTTTATTAATAATAATAAGATAACTAATATACTCTGATATTCAGTGAGACGTAAAAAGTTACATTAGTAAATTATATTTATTATTTACGGTTTACGCTAATACTGTTTGAAAGCTCACCCATGTTATGTATAACGTACATTAAATTTGTACATATATAATTTGTATAGGTACCTGAAAAGTTTAAAATCTACCAAATACTCTCTAACGTATAGGTACCATTATATGTATCGTGCATGATGTATTATAGAGATATAATTTAATTTTAATTCCAATTTTGAATGATGAAAAATCAAATAAATTATAACAATAATTACTGAAGAAAAAATTTGATTAAAGAACCCCTTAAATTATAATGCAACATCTCGACCCCGACGACGAGTGTTGTTGTACGTAATTATTACTTAGGTTTATCTATTTGCATTATGTATTTAATGGCGGAGCGGTTTAAATTTAGTAGTCAAGTCAATAATACAACTAATATCGGAAAGAACAGTACTTAAAAAAATAACAATCGGATAACAATGCCAACTGCGATGAATAACTAAAAGCAATCGATACAGCCATACCACACCCACGGTATAACGCCCCGGCATTAATTCCCCAAACACTTATGCTCACATCGAAAATGTTCGCGACTACTTTATTGAGTCAACAAATTCATGACATGGTTTGTTCGGTAGTGGGGGTGGGGGGGGGGCGGTATCGAATCGGTGGCGAGTGGTTATATGAGGTGGTGCAGGCGGCGAGGGAGGAATACACGAGTTACAAATCGCATTTCCTTTTACTTTATTCCTCTCCTCGCCACTCTACTTCCCACCGCACTCATCCGGGTCCTCGTTTTTCTCATTGTCGCAAAAAGCGGGGTGCGCACAGCAGCACTTTTCTGCGAACACTGAATATGAAATCGTCAAATGGGTCCGAAAACGCTGAAATCCCAGTTCACAATGCGTAGGTACCGTCGATGTTTTGGTGTGTGACAGACTGTTTAGGGGGCGAGTGGTGTGCAGGGAAGGGTAGAGGAAAGCAATTTGTTTGCCTGGTGCAAATCGGATACTAATACGATTCCACGTCGTCGTCGTCAGCTGATTCGGACGGGAAACGAAATGCACACCCTCATTAGGGGATGGGAAAACGTGGTATGTTTAGCACTGGATCGGTTGGGAAATGAAAAGGAAAAAAATACTGAAATAAGAGGGAAAAGGAAAATACAAACACGTAGGTATGTTACTTATATTATTATTATTATTATTATTATTATCATAGTGTTTGCTCACGTAATTGTGTGCCAAATCGGGATGATTGGTCTGTATACCGTCGTCAAGTATTGAGACGACTACATTTTTGCCGGTATACCCTTTTTGCCAAGCCGGACCCATATTCATGTCGAAGCCGTCCAGAGCACCACCGTTCTGAAAAATAAAAATAAAATGATCATTAAATTGTAATACGCACGTTTAAGTACCTATCTAAAGATTTGAAATGGGTAAATTGAATTTTAATGTTTATGACAGATACGTACAGGATGCAGACTACAATTGTCATACCTACAGGAGTACATAAAAACAAGGTAAATACAAGCATTTGAGTATATTTCACAGTTTTGTTTTTTATCATTACTATCCTCCACTTAAGACTCGAAATATTTTAAGGCAATACATATCGTGAGTAGTATAAAGATTGGTATTTTGGTAATATTTGTCTATTTAGAGGAAGAGTACCTATATAATAGTTGATGTAATATTTTTAGAGCCGAGAGAGGTTTTTTTTATGCTTGATGAAATAACAAGATGGATATAAACTATTTCTCGACAACGTGAAGACACTAATGAATAGAGGTATTAAAGTGAATCTCAATATTTCTTTACAAGACTGAACTGATATACCTAATATTTAAATAGTGAGATTTATACATTTATGCCTCAACTGTACACGTTATTAGTTTATCGTTACCAAATAAATTGTATAATATTATAATAAAATAATAATCAATAAAAATGTAATCGGGCCACTATACTTGATGGGCCCCCGCGGTGTCTACTCATTTACCCGCTTATGGGGCTTTGTAGTTAACATACAAATTAACATGGTGGCCAACTAAGTTAGACTCTTAATAACATTACATTTTTCATTACACAAATTGTTTTATACGAAGTTTAATTTATTAGAAAATTACAGCATAACGTATACGAAAAAAGGGAACTGCAGTACAAACTTTGAACATTCTGCAAAAAGAAAGAAGCACGAAAGCAGATTTTTTTCGAGTAAGATATGTAACTCGATTTTTGTCTTTTTAGTATAATGTTAAAAAGAAAAATAATAATATAATTATTTGAAATTAAATGGAAGAATTCTCAGATATTAATTTAGAAAAGTAATAAAAAAATATGGAATACAGTAGTAAAAACAGTTGGTAAAAATAGTTTCTTTTTCAAACTTTTAATGGAGTTTTCTTAAAATTATACAACAATAAACGTTTGTGCTATATTTGAGTAAGAAGACATATTTTAACCAAAAACAACCTACTATTTATATTCGTTAAATAATATTGTAGTTAATGAACATTAAGTTTTAATACTAATTATTTTTAAAAGAAAAGAATTAATAAATTCTCAATTTTTTTGGAACAAATATATATTATACAATAATTTATAATTAATTATAAAATAAATGCAATGATGTGTACCTATAATATTTATTGAATTATACTCATTATACCAAATATTTTCTTTTTGTCATTTATATATAAAAAAAATTCATTTGCAGTTGCAAAAAAAATTTTAAAATCATTGATGAGAAGAAGTGTTAAAAGGTTGTTAAAAAAATAAATATATTTTCTAAATTTTTTAATTGTTCATGCCATTTTGTTGAAGTAAATTTGGAAGTATATATTATTACGCTGTATTTTAGAGGATAAATCATTATTTATAATATAAAATATTAAACAATTATTTCGCGTCTATCTAATATTTTTTTTTGATCAAATATTAAATTGATTGTAATAATTGAAACAAAATTTCAAAACAAAACAGATGGATTTTAAGAAACTAATTACAAAGTCTCATCTATTAAATATTTTTTATATATAGAACGATAAAACTTTTTAGATGTAATTCGCTGAAAAAAATAACACATCATTCATTTTCAGTCAATAGGTTTCTCAATTTGGTTATAAATCATAGTGTATAATGTATATTATATAAGTTCATAAAATGTAATGTTTTAAATATTATATGACTAATAAGTAACAACTAATAACCCTAAATTAAAACACAATGAAGACTTGTAGATTTTTTATAAATATAATATTTTCCATATAAATTCAAATTTTTTTTTTTTATTTGTTTTATAGAAAAAAATGATTTGATAGTTCTTAGCATACAAATTGTCCCCTGTCATTTTAAAATTGGTTGTTATAAGATTGTCTCCCTCACCAGTAAGAGTAATATAACTGACTTTCCTCGAGATGACTGTTGAGACCAGTGATCAATATCCAACAACTAGTCTTATGTGTCCATCCGTGGTCTATAATAATATTATATAGGTGTATACTTTTTAAATGTAAGCCCTTATTATCGACTTACCGGATACAGCTAGGTTAGGCGAATTGCCTAGAGAACTTTTACCAGTTGGATGTTAAACCTATACTATTGAGCTATTGATCCTCTGTTTGCGTCCTTCAATTATATTTTTTTTTTTTTTTTTTTTTGGGATGGGACGATTTATTGAAAAATAATGATCCATCTGTTTGACAACAGAGGGCTGATAATTTTTTTTTTTTATCATATGTACTAAAAATTCTATTATTGAAAAAATATTTTTCTGTGTTATGAATATTGGAAATGTTCACCAATTTGAATCATAATATGTATTTTAGTTTTACCAGTAGAAAAATAATTCTTCAAGGGGTAAACATTAAATATTTCCTTTAGAAGAGAAGACTATATTTTCTCTGATTTTTATCATCAATACTACAAGGTTGTTCAAAATGATTTATCCGATAGCAAATGCTTGTATATTTTTGTTTTTAGGTTTTTTATGTGTCTTATGTCTTGGTCACACGAACAAAATCTAGTCGTAACTCAAATTCATTTTATGCATATTTATTATAATTGACTGCTAATTTTTAGCACCTTTATGGTCGAGATTAAAAAGGTGTTACATAGACAGTCAGACAGACGGTATATTTATCGAATACCTACACAAAATAAGTAAATAAGTAGTTATATTGCGTAAGATCTAGGAAGCTGGTGCAAAGCATTTTGAATAACCCTAAACTATATTATGCAAAATCTTACACTTTTATTAACGTTTTTTTGTTTTATAGACGTATAACATATAATAATATTAAATACCTATTAACTTTTATTTATTTGTTCATCACATTAAAAGAAAATATTTGTATGAAGAACCTTGCTTACTTATAATATTATAGGTAATTAAGTATAATTAATTATTAAATTATATTATACTTGGGTATATTAATTTACAATTTAAGTTTATTTTAAAGTTTACTCACCAGGTACCATTGTTCCTTGAAAAGTGGATCAGGAAATACATTATGGACAGTGTTACCAAGACGCCTGAATGGTTGTCCTTGTGTAAGTTGTGATAACGGCCCACCTGATGTTTGTTGCTGATAAAAATCGGTGGAACCAGCGAATACGGTGGCCGGTAAGTTGGGTCCAGGGAAATCCCGTTTTTTCCTCTTCTTTTCATGTTGTTGCTGAACCCAATGCACCTAAACAATTTAAAAATAAACATTTAGATATTACACTAACAATAGTTAGGATCATTATTTAAAGGATAAAATAACGGATTAAACATTTTAAAGACAGTTTATTTTAATAATACTGTAAACATGCTAAACAAAAGGACAAAAGTATATAATCATTTCGTAAATGAACAATTATCTCGCCCGAAAACAGACTCATTCGAGCGAATTGTATTTTAAGTTATTTATAGACGGGATTATAAAATATTTTGAAAAGAAAAAAAGATGAATCCTTTCATTTTAAAACTAATCCAAATACAATAGATCAATAGTTCAATAGTACCTATAAGATTTATTACCTACTGAAGGTACCTTACATTTATATAGTCGTTAGGTATATACATTTTTTTTTTTACTATTCCCTCGTATAATAATATGAAAATTTCGGCTGAATGAACAAACATAGATAGAAGGTATACATAAAATAAACAAAAAAATGATAGCATTTACATTTTTTTCACTGAATATACACAAAATATTGATGTTCACATGAATATTTTATCGTGGATTAAATAATGAATTAATTTAACCTATATCTAAATTATTAAAAATTTCTAAAACGCAAACCTGCAAGAACAGAAACTTAAAAAATAGAAATGGGTCAAACGAGATTTTAGGTTTATCGCGGAGAAAACAGAAAGTAAAAATAAAAGACGATATGAGATTAAAAAAAATCAATTCTTTGTTCTTTTCAGCTCTGTTAAAATGAACACTTTAAACTTCAATTGGAACGAACTTATTGAATATGTTGTGTTACAAACAATAATCATACAGCAAGTACAATACGAATTTATTTCAAATTGAAGATATAATTGATATAATATCACTGTATAAGAAAAACGATTGTGAAAAAGGTTGAACACCACTGGCCAAAACCATGGTTAAGATAGAAAAATAATTTTTATACTAAAAAATGTAAAATTCATTAAGTAGGTATATCATTGACAACAATTTCACAACAATTTCAGATCCACTCCACATTTTAATATCAATTATTTGGGCATTAGTTTGTACCGTCCCGCCGTCCAAGTAAAAAAAAAAATAGTTGGGGTACGCAAAGAAAAACTAGTAGAGGAGCTCCGTCTCCAATTTAAGCACTCTTTTTAGTCTATTTACATGAATGGAATAAATTAATCGTATGAGAATGATGGCCATTCATTAGAGTAAATTCTGCCTTTTGTTAATTATTTACGGAGAAGTAGTGATAATATGGTTATATTAACGACTAATGATTTAGTTTATAGAGCAATTATTTTTGGAGATCTTTGTTTCATTACAGTTTAAGTATTATAATAGCAATTGAAGAATTAAATTATAATAATAACAATAATATTATTTGCAGGAAGATGATGAACAAACCAGATCAATTCAACAAATAATGATGAAGTTACACCGCAGAAAAAATGTAAAACTATTTTATATTCACCTGATTAACAACAATATTTATTCTTGTATATTAAAGGTTTTAAAAACAAAATTTATGTAACATATAGATAATTTCTAGATATATTAAAATCTAATTTGGAATTTTGTAGTATTTCTATCTTAACAACAACAGATAACGGTTCGCTTTGACTTTATAAGATTTAGCATAACAATAAACGAACTAACATAAACGTTTATAAAACCAATTACAAATTAATTATTTCATTATTAATGTATCTGTAGTTTAAGACTTAAAATAACTTTATTCAAACTATGTACATCAGATTTGTTTCTATTTGTTTTTAAATGATTCAATAAACCACAATAGGACATTCGAGGGATGAATAAATGATGAATATATTTTTAAATTTATCAATATTAAAATTAAAATTTAAAACTAATGCGAGTACAGATTATGTAGAAAGTCAACTGTTAAAATATAAAACACAATATTCCAAGTAATACTTATTGAAATACTTTTTTTCAAATTATATTTAATCAATGACTTTTAAAATTATAATTTACAGCTGAGATTTAATTTATTAGTGTGGAACAAACTATTGTAAAAAACTAAATTGTGTAGTATTTTTAAAACTCGTTCCTAGTAAGTAAATAATATATGTGTAAAATTATACAATAAATATACAATGGAATATTGTATGAAAAAATTACTTTTAACGGAGAGAGGCGAGCGATAAACCTTCAGAATGTACAACATCCATACAAATGCGATGAATATTATTCGTTTGTCCTGAGTGTGGTGGAGGGATGGGAAGAGTAAAATACCATTTTGGAATACCCGGTGTTTGACAAAACACGTCAGGAGGAAGTCGTTGGCGTTTAAACGTTATTATTTTTTTCACAAAAAGCGGAGAAAAAATAGTTTTCAAAGAAATGTGCACATATAATATATATATATATAGATATGTATTGAGGGAGAGAGAGTGCAAAAGAGATAGAAATAGCTGAATGTTACTCTTTCTTATTTCCTCGAATATAGTATATATATTCCGTTCAACCGATTTACCCATATTTCACGTACTAATGTAAGTACTATTATGAAGTTTTATAATTGAAATTTTCTGGACGCGGCATGAGTGTAAAAAATAGGTCGGCCTTGCATTCATAATATAATACTGGCGCACGTCAACTGCGTTGCGAATTACAATGTTTATAGAGCACACACACACAATTGCAGAGTCGCAGGTGGTCGTCGAATTATTATTATAATAATGTTTTGAACTGTTGTACAGCCGGAGAGGCGAGAGCAGATTCCAGGTCAACCTAGTCAAGGTAGAGAACCGAATAATTCGCATAAAATATTATATTTACAAAGGTCATGCGCGCGTACCAGGCAATACCTACATATAAAACGATTAGAAAAAGAAATTATATTAAAAGAGAAATATCTACAAATGCAAATTCGTTTCGGTGGAGTGTAAATGCGTTTCAGCGGGTAATCGTTGTGGAAAATAATCATTTACACGGTCGACTTCTCGTTTGCACGTGTGTTTGTGTGTGTGTGTGTATGTGTGTGTTTGACATAAAGGTAGGACAATATTTAATAACGTACAATAATATTATAGTATATATAATATAAATATAATTTAAAATTATAATCGCTGGAGAAGAGTGAGTACGTTTGACGGCGGACTGCAGTAATAAAAAGGTTTTCTATGTTTATTACATAAAAACTAAACTTTGCTGTATATACTATATATATATACACATGTATAGTGACAACCCAACAGAAAATAGTTGAGATAATTGATTGATCATATATATACATTATATATTATAGACTGTATGATGTCTGCAGTGTGTATGCTGCAGTTAAATGATTTATTATCGTTATAATGCACGTGTTATATGATTCTAATAATTGTTAAATCGTATATAGGAGAACGAATTGTCAAATCGCATCGAATAAAAACACGGTACACATAAAACAGACCGAAAATAAAATAAATCGAAATAATGATTTACTCGGGCCCATTAGACCGCGGATAAAAATAATGAAATACGATACTGTTACTAGTGTTTCTATAAGTAATAATAATAATAATAATATCATAGGTATAGTATATGTAAGCAATCGATACTTTTGGCTAGGCGAAACGACTGATCGAAAACTATAGCAGACAAATGGTCCGTCGAGTGATGTCGCGACGAGGTGGGTTATTTCCACCGGGATTGTATACTTGGGGACTGCGGTTACTTATATTTACCAGGAATTCCATTGAATGTTAAGGGGGTGTCCTGTTTACAAAAGACACCAACTGCTATGAAATAATTAAATAACGGAGAACACGTGAAGAACTGAACAAGTCCTTCGTTTTTGACGAGGTATCGATGAGGTATAGTGGATCCGTAACATCCCACGTCTCTTTATCCCATCACTGCGACCACTCTCAAAAAATTAATTTTATGGTTAAATTCATGATTTCAAACAAATTCTCAGAAAATAAGTACCTACATAGTAAATAATAACAGCCGTAGCGATATTTACGAATGAAATGCGTAATGAATGTAGAAGTCAAAAATAATAATAATAATAATAATATAATTATTAATGTCTTATACGAATTCACACGTCATGTCCGTATTTATAAAGAACTATAGTGTTGACAGATGAACATATTTTTCTGTTGGGCCAGATTTTTTTTAAATTTCTCATTTCTTATATTCAGGTATAGACTATAGTATACTGTACAATGTTAGCATTTTATCCAAAAACCCTTAATGCAAATTCTCAACATAAAACATACTTATAATCCATTTTGAAACTAAAAGTATCCAACAACGATTAGTTTTGAAAATATATCCACGCATGTACATTTAGACATACTGATATACGAAAGAACGTTAGATTTGATTATTTAAACACATTAAATCACTGGAATTCTGCTCAAATAATTTCAAGCCAGTAAACTTGGGACACAAAATGGAATATACGGCCAAAATAACATAGTTTTGTTAACTAAAATTTACCAAAGTAATATCTGTATGGTATAATATAGTGTATAATACAATAGTAATGAATGACACACGAACAGTGAGATACTAAGTGGCGGTTATAAGGGGGGCGAAAGGTGGACGAAATCTGAAGGGGATCTAATTTTATGAAATATCTTTATATATCATCCACATACAACAACAATTTTTACTTGGTTAAACCTTATGGAGATAGAGTTAACAAAAAGTGAAAATAGTAATGGGCCGCCCTGGGGAACGCCAGAAATTGTTTCAAATGTTTTTGAAGAGGAGCCCAAGATCTTTAATCGTGGTCCCGCCATAGATAATATAAGAATGGATAGGACATGCCAATTGCCAGTTGCATATAGGACCGTGTGCTTTTTTGGGGAGGAGGGAACGTAGTGAGAGAAAGACGATATGGGGCTATTTTAAGGTTATGTCCAAAAACTGTTTAAAATATTTGTCAATTTCAAATTTGTATTTTGACTGTCGTGCCTGAAAATGGAAATTGGAATACTCAAAATACTCAAAAGCATATGCTTTTATAATAATACATTTTATAAGTC